GCATGTGGCGTCTGGCTGGGTGTCAGCCACGCCACATGCGCCCTTGGAGTGACAGGGCATACACTCTAGTAAAACCCTTCAAACATTGTATAAAATAAAGACTCGATACATTATATATACTAATGAAAGACAATCCATTGTATTGATCAAGCACTTGGTACATTGTCTTCAATAGACCAGAAAAGTTTTGAAAAAATTCAATTAAAGTATAAATATGTGTTATTAAATTCAAACTAGTTAGGGTATTAGTAGAGTAGTCTAAATATTTTTTTCGATAAAATCATCCACAAAATCCTTTTCATGGAACTTTTGATTTATTAAAGAAAAGATAATTCCTTTTCAACACGTCTAAACAAGTATGATCATTCAAGTATTTGTCACACCTAGAAGTGTAAAAATGTGTCGAATCAAACCTAAGCAAGGCGGCATGGAGAAAGCCCCCGCCGGGCGGGGCACACTCATTCCCGTACAACAAAAGGCTATTTACGCACCTCATTGGAGGACCAGTGCTGCATTTAATATCACCATGAAGAATTTGGTACCAAAGAAATGCAGAATTAGATTGTTTGTTCAAGTGATGATAGGCTTGGCCTTAGCCACCATTAAGATTTGTAATTTCATCTTAAATGTCAACCTTATTAAGAAGAGTAATCCAAACTCTTATAAATTGGTCTATGTTTACATTTTTATTCGATGTGAAATTTTTATCCCTTAACATACCCTTGCAAGATGGTGGCTCGTTTGAGCACAAGAATCTTGAAATCCGTGTGCTCGATTTTTTGAGTCTTAATCGGATCGAATTGCTCGTTAGAACTTAATGGACTCTGATAACATGTTAAAATTTGTTTATATTTTCATCTTTATTTGATGTGGGATTTGTATCCCTTAACAGCCACGAACATCAAAAACTAATCCTTAGAAACATCGATTGGACCCAACATCCTTAATTCTCTTATCTGATATACAGATGAGGTCAATCTCTTGTTTGGATTTCTTGTGCTTTTCTGGCCCTTCAGTTAGATATGTGTGGATAACAATTCCTATACCACCCACCCCACTCCCACATATTCCAAAAATTATTGGCTCCAAATATCTTTCACTTTTCATCATTTGTTTGCATTCAGTTTCTTAATTTTCTATTCTTAACCTTTTTTGTCCATATACAAGAAAAGAGAGATGTATCAGCACTCTTTTCCCTGTTTGCATTGCCACCCTCATACTTACATCAGAATGGTATCATATATCTTAATTTTCTTTGGGTTTTATTATTCGTTTTTCGTTTTTTGATTATTAATTCATTTGTAAAAATATGTTAAATAAATCTTGATCATGAATAACTTCGGTGTATGTATTTGTAAATTAATTACAGGTTCAAAATCTCATAGAGAGGTGCTTGTTACTTCATATGGATCAAGACCAATGCATCAAGGCATTAGCAAAGCATGCAAAAATTCGTCCCGTCGTAACACTCGCAGATATATTCACTTTTTAATCGTTGGTTTTGCTTTTTGGAGGTCAAGTATAGCCCCTTCGTAAATTGTAACAATAGTGATAATCATCATTAGGGGTGGAGTCAGAAAATAACATTAGGATAGGCTGAAATTTTAAAAAAATTCGGCTAAACTCATGACAAAGAGTGTACGACACTCAATAAAATAAAAGAAGTCTAGATGTTTCATCCTAAGATGTCTCACTCGATCTTTTTATATTTTCTTACCAAATATAAAATCAACGCATGGGTTGAAAAATATAAATTGACCAAATCATGATCGAAATAAGCAAATGCTACATATCCACTAATCAAAAACTAAGAAATTATTTAATGAGTACTATTCTAAAAAACT